GAGAGAGAGATGAGAGAGAGAGAGAGTTGAGATAGAGAGAGTTGAGATAGAGAGATGAGAGAGAGAGAGAGATGAGAGAGAGAGAGATGAGAAAGAGAGATGAGAAAGAGAGAGAGAAATGTGTGTGTGTGTGCGTACGTGCGTGCGTGCGCGCGTGTGCGTGTGTGAGAGAGAGAAAAATAGAAAGAGAGACTAACAGACAGACAGACAGACAGACAGAGAAAGAGAGAGAGAGAGGGAGAGAGAGAGAGAGAGAGAGAGGGAGAGAGATGGATGAGAGGGATGAGAAAGTGCGCGCGCCATATCTACAAAGTATGTACAAGAGCGGACCGATCGCTCGGCGTCCGCGGCTTTTTACGTTCTCGACGGTGGCCGTGGGGGCAATAGGGTGGCGGGGGCGGCCGTGGCGCCGCCCCCACGCGCAGCCCCGGCCCGGCCACGCCTCGGCGTCCTCGCGCTCAGGGCCCATACTGCTGCTCGAGTTCGCGCCTCAGCCGGTTGGCCGCCGTCTCTGTGGCCCCGCCGCCTCCAGCGCCGCTACTCCCGGTCGCGCTTCCAGCCTCGGAGGTCTCACCGTCGCTACAGCCGTCCTCGGCCTCGGCAACGACACCTTCGACTTCCTCCTGGCGGCGCTTCGCCGTCGCCATCTCCGCTGCGTGCTTCTTGCGCCACTTGGTCCGTCGGTTCTGGAACCAGACCTACAAGCAAAGAAACCCGTTGTCGCTGCGTTACCAAGGCGCCAATTTCTCCCCTCCCCATCTTCTTCACCCCCTTCCCACAATAACCCTCCCGCGATAGCGAGACCCTTGCTTTTTAATCCGTTTAGGAGGGCTCACGCTTTGTTACGTCTTTAATTTGGACGCCCTCGGGCGAATTTGCTCTTGCGGCTCTGCAATCTCTTTCCCCGTGTAGCGAGCGGGCGCGCGCGCGCGCTCCCCCGGCGGCCGTTACGTTAATTAAATACATTGTTGCGGGGACAGAGTCGGGGTTGGCGAGGGGCAAGAGTCGGAACTCGCCGGTACTCCTCGACGCCGCGGCGAGCCGAGTTTCCGCCTTACCTGATTCGCCGGGCCTATTAAATTCGGCCCCCGCCGCGCCTTCACTCACCGGTCGACGAAATGAATTCCCCGCGCCCCGCGATCTCCGCGGCGTCTCGGCGCCTCGGCGTCGGGACGCGCGCTGCAGCTGCATCGCTCGATAAAGGCACGTCCCGGCAAGCTAAGCGCGAACCAACAGCCGCCCCTTTGCATTTTCAGCCCGGCCGGATTTTAAGACCGAACCCTTGCCTCATTCCCTTATTAAAAGCGAAGCGCCCGCGCGATTTCCTCGCCTCGCCCCCTACCACCCCAACGTCCCACTCTACCGCCCTCCCGCCCTACGCTCGCTCCTGTTAACATTGGGCTTTCCCTTTTTCTGCGGCCGGCGACCCCGTCTTTTCCTCTTTCATTAAGCCCATCTTCTTGCTTACTACCTTCTACCAATTTCATAAAGCGCCGGCTTATTTTTCATTCCCAGGCGTAAAGGAAAGCCACCCTGGCTCCACTTGAAAAAAGCGTTGCTTTACATTTTCATTGCTTTACATTTTCATTGCTTTAGAAATGCCCCTCTAACAATGAGCGTTAATAAATGAAAATGTGATCTCCTATTCTCCAGCATCGAGTAAAATCCTTGTTTAGTCAACAGTACATAGAATTATATGGGAATCGAAAAAGATTTACGCGAAATCGGCGAGAAACGCGAACTACGCCAACTGTAAGGTTGCAAAAATCAACAATTTTCACAATATAAAAAAATCCACTTCAACTCGCGGACATACGACCATCGTGCTCGATGGCCAATTACCAATTGTCATTATATCCTCACAACATTTGCCCTCGCGAAATTTGGAAAGTCTATTGACAGTAATTTTTGTTGCACTTTACTCCATGCCGTTTTCCCCCTCAATTTCTATTCGCTTCGAACACTAAGTACACCAAGCGTAAAATACTTTTTTCGGCAAACGTACGAGCAAGTACATTAAATGATATTGTAATATCATTATATAATAATTATCATTGTCGTCGACATAGTCGTCCTACCATATAATAAGTCTTACATGGAACGCTTTATCACGCAGTTTTGCTTGTTTCTTGTTTCTCGCATATCACGTGCGCTCTCATTTGCTCGACTATATCCTATGTTGTTCGCTCTTAAAGAACATCATGACATCTTATAAAGAAAATCATTGCCCCGTTATGTTAGTCAAACAAATAGAGGACTAAAAGAAAGGAAGATATAATGACGATAAATAAGAGAGCATAGTAGTAAACCATAAAGGAGAGCCGGTGCAACTTGAACGAGTCTTTGTCACTTGAAGCAATTAAGAGGGTTGTAAGGGTAGCGACGTCCGATATTATTTACCGATACAAACTTGGATGCGTTGGGATAGAGATTGAAAGAAGCACATTCACAGATAGATAGATAGATAGACACAGAGAGAGAGAGAGAGAGAGAGAGAGAGGGAGAGAGAAAGAGAGAGAGAAAGAGCTTGAGAGAGAGAGAGAGAGAGAGCGTGAGAGAGAGAGAGAGAGAGAGCTTGAGAGAGAGAGAGAGAGAGAGATAGGAGAAAATAAATTTTTTTATCGTGTTAGTCACGCACGCGTTGCCAGACGGTGCGCGCGAAGCCCGCCATGCGTTGGCTCGCCCCAAGCCCAGGCCGCACAACTGTCAGATTTATTAAATCAGGATTATCTAAGTCCGCTACATTCTCTCCTCTGAAGCCGCCTGTAAAACCGCATGTGCACATATGTACACGTGGATACCAAAAAAATCCCGACTAAATCTATCGATCTATCTTTGCGTGTCTCTCACCTATCAAGCCTGTCAGTCGTGGAACCGCGGCACTGCGAAATCAACGCCACCTCCTCCCATTGTCACTTTTACATTGACGAAGTGTCGAGCTTTGGCGCTCGACTAGTATCGGCAGACTTTATTGTCGACGGATAGACGGTATCGGTGTCTACCACTCCCGAGATACGGGAGACCCGCACGGTCGCGGCAATCTCAGTTTTGAAAGCTTCGTCGCGCTCGAGCCTCGAAATGCAGCGTAATAACGAATTTCGTGTAAAAGGGTAAAAAAAAAAAAAAAAACGAAGAAGAAGAAAAAAAAAGAAATCGGAGCTCATCGGAAAAAATGCTCTGGATGGGTGAAGGGGAGGGTGGAGCCGTCGTGGTTTTTCTCCTTTTATAAATTTACATAGCGCGCCGCTACGTACAAGCTCGTCCCGTTCATATTTCAAAGTCTTCCGGATCGTTTGGCTCGCTTGTCATTCGGTGCCGATGGCTTTCATCGATGACCGAATATTCCGCATAAATTTCCGTACCGTCGCGCGCCACGTCCCCGCGAATATCGGAAAAAGAAATTCACACAAGTACTCACTCCAGCTCGACTTTTTATTCTTTTTATCGGCTGTATTCGGGGGATTTGGAAGATCGACGCGCCCCGCCTGACAAGAATTATGCGCGAGGGTGTTGCACCAGTCGTTCCCGCAGATATACAGATAAAGAGATTAGATTGCGGCTTGTGTATTACAAATTTCATAAGCCACTATCGATTTAAAATTAAACTGTATAATTTGCCAATCAATTTGCGAGCTGATTTTGTTACAGAACGGATAACGAGATAAGAGTTCCGAGCTTCAGGTGTTGTGATACGTAAGCCTTTGAAAGAGAGCGTTAGGCGAGAGGTCGGTAAAAAAAGAAAAAAGAAAAAAGAAAAAATGAAGAAAAGAAGAAGAAGAAGAAGAAGAAGAAGAAGAAGAAGAAGAAGAAGAAGAAGCAGAAGAAGAATAAGAAGACAAGTCAAGCTCGAACGTACTCAGGCGGCTGACTATTGGAATTCTGATGGAGGGAACGAGAGAGCGAGAAATAAGAGGGAGAGCGAACGGGAACGTATCGCCAAAGTTTTAGCCATTTTTCTTTTTTCTCGTTGGCGCTGTTCTCGCGAGAACGTCAGTGAGGGCGGCGGCGGCGGCAGTGGTAGCGACGGTAGCGGCGACGCCGAGGCGAGCTTATCGCGCCCCAGAAAAGTAGAGGAACGGGAAGCAATAAAATTCTCTCCTGCGAAATTTGATTCCGGAATAAAAATAGAATACCGAGGATAACACGAATCGGTGAAGCCATTTCCGATCTCTGGCTGACTTGACTCGGCCGGGAGAAAGCAAGAGAGAGAGAGAGAGAGAGAGAGACTGAGAGAGAACGAGAACGGGTGTTGGGGAAGGGAGTTGGAAAACATATCGATATGGGGGAGGCGCTACGAGAACGGAATACAGAGAGCGCATTATCGCTCTACTACTGGTTTCCCAAGCGCCTCACGAATACAGCCAAAGAGAACAGGCCCACCTGCACCATCGCTCTTTTACGTCTTCACGCACGGCCGAACCTATACATTATTACTATTTCTTCTTTCCAGCGAATTGCTGCTACACTCGCTGTTTTTGCTGCATAACTATTTAATTGGATCGATTATGGCGGGAATCCTTCTCCTTCTCCCTCTCCCTTTCCCACCCTACCGCGATTTCTCACCTCGAGCATTACTTACGGCATTGCAATATACGACTCTATCGCCGACTCTTTCCAAACGCTTCTATTTAACGTGACTTCGACTCTAATGTCGCTCGTTGCCAATGAAGCTTCTCGTTCGATTGTCTTGGAAGTCAAGGTTCGTCTTCGTATGAAAATTATTGTGATTATATTGACGGTACTTGTGCGCAAAAGACAATATCAATCAATGCAATTATATGATAATCCGAGTACATTGAATTTCGTAGTAATGATCAGTGGCAAGAATATTCACATCACCGTCTGTCTATCCATGATAATTTGGCATGGATGGCATGGACCATTCCAATGGAAAAGTTGCAACTTGTGAGAAGCGCTTTCAGATTGTAGCTTCCTTCCGACCACGCGAAATTACGAGTCGCACAAATTTATCCGAAATCATTCATTCGGAAAAGCGAGGAGACGGGGTGAAGCAGAAGAAGAAGAAGAAGAAGAAGAAGAAGAAGAAGAAGAAGAAGAAGAAGAAGAAGAAGAAGAAGAAGAAGAAGAAGAAGAAGAAGAAGAAGAAGAAGAAGAAGAAGAAGAAGAAGAAGAAGAAGAAGAAGAGCCTCCAAGAAGCATCGTGATAAAGTCAGAGAGGTAAAATAGCGTAAAGATATCGCTTTGATCGTCCGTCGAGAATCGCCCAGAGGGGTTGGCCGAGGCTGGTGGCCGATGACGAGTGGCGAGCGGTGAGCGATGAGTGGTGAGCGGTGAGCGGCGAGGGGATATTGGCTGAAGGAGGAGGAGGAGGAGGAGGAGGAGAGAACAGAAAGAGGGCTGGAGGAAGGGATGAAGGGCGCGAGCGAAGGGCAGATACAGCGCCTGCTGGCGTGATTTATCATAGGTTGTCGTTGTCGAGTGGGCGAGCCAACGGCATAACGAGCATCGTGATACATGCGAAGGTGAAAGCGCCGTAGGAAAGTACCGTAGCGGAGGGACGACGAGTCGGCCGCTGATGGCCTTCGCCCCGTACTAATTGACGTCATCGATATCGCTGTCCACCGACGAGGCGATTACCCCACCGTAAACAAGTACGCCCCTGGGTGGCTCGGAGCTTCTGCCGAATGGCTGTCGCCCACTCGCTCCTGGCTTCTCTGGCCCCTGACTCCCGAGATCC